TGCTCGGCCCACCAGGAAATCCAAACCCCTTAAAAAAAAAAAAAAAGAAAAAAAAAAAAAGAAAAGAAAAAAGTTTTTGCTGTTGCCATCTGCAGTCATTTAACACCTACTTTTTTTCTAACTAAACTTTTTAAAAATAACTTATTGTAAAAGAGAAAATCTTTTCAGAATATTTATATATTTTTATGCAAGTGTTAACACTAAATGAAGACTAAATGAAATATTCAACTTTAAAACTAAGATGTAGGGATTTGCTATTTTCCAGTAAAGGGCTATCTTAAAAGGAAGTAGATTTAAAACCTAACGCTGGAGGCAGTTAATTATTTTAAGATAAAGATGACTGTTTTCACCACAGTGTATTTTGGTGTTTGTTTCCAGCTGTGCTAGCACAGGCACAGCTCTCTCGGAACGTTCAGTAGCAGTACGTGTGAGGAGTTGTGAGGTTTTTGAGGGGAAACTGTGAAATACAGAAATGCGTAAGAGCCCAACCTATGCGTGTGTGAGGTCACGGATGTGTATTAATGCTCTTTTTCTGGAGCACTTTTATGGACATTGTATCAAGATGAAACTTTACATGCATGTGTTCTGCAGTTATTTATTAAACAACAATACTACCCCTTTGCTCTTTTAAGTTATTTGGCAACTGTATCACAGGTGTGACCCTACACCATAGCGCTGCTGGATGTAAGGTAGATCCAGTATAGGACAGAACCACCAAGGCTGAATTAAAAAAGCTTCTTCCTGCAGCAGACAAGCAAGCTGTGCATGCCGTACAGCAGTTATTGGTCAGTTAAATGGTTTGGTTGGGGAGAAAATAATGTTACAGACCTGAAGAAAGAAGGATGTGGAGGTGTCTACCCCTTAAGGGAGTGGCACAGTGTAACAGGAATTCTGATATCAAGAATGAGCGAGTGTTCTAAATCTACTTTTTCCAGGCTGGGACCGGTAGGTAACTTGTAGCTCACATCACTGTACTATTAACGTGCCTCCCCTGTTTTCTCAGGCAGAAACCACAAGAAGACATACTGGTTTGGGGGGAGGGGCGGGGGGGAAACACCCGAATTGGGAAGTTTACACGGTTTGTAAACAGTTTTGTTGCTGTTTAACATGCACACACAAGAGTGCAGTTCACTGTGATGAGGTACCCAGAAGCAAGAATAGATGCAGGTGGGGTCTATGTTGTGTCACAGGAAGAATCCTGGGATTTAGGACAGGAATGATGTTTTTACAGCTCTAACAAAGCATTGACAAGTGACACAGGCTGGTTAAAAGCACTTGTTTATTGGTTACAATATCAACTCATGGCAACATCTTTCACTGAGCCACTGTACAAATACAAAGAAAAAGATCCGTCGTGGAAAAAAAAAAGCTATAAACAGAGTTCATAGCAAGTGATTTTTTTTTCACAGGGAAGTCTTTTTACAACAGCACTGTTAAAGAACAAATGGCACAAGTCCCTGGTTTTTTTAATAGCTTAAATAAAAGCTTTAAGACTGTTTCTGAATACATACACAATCCAAAGGCAGTGCAGAATCACTTCATAATTGGTAACATTACCAAAGTTTTTCCAAAGTAGTCAGCAACAAGTGAAAAAAAAAACCAACCAAAAAAAAAAAGGTAGCTGATGAAAAATGCTGGAAACTAAAGGCAAATTAAAATCAAGCATGTTTCAAAGCATTTTTTTTTGGACTCCTTTGGATGTAATATGTACTATAAGTGTTCAGATGCTTTTATTTAAAAAAAAAAAAGGAGAAAAACACAAATAGAGCACCATTGTGTAAGTAAAACAAAGGCTTGAAATAGATATCTAAGACTATTCCACCGAAGTCCATATTAGTTAAAACCTAAACATACTGTGTGGTATAAGAATGTCAGGCACATGTAATCTGTTATCAGTTATATCAATTAGTAACACTGTTCACACATTTACCATAACAACACTGCATTAACATTCTGCATGTATTTTACATAACCAGCAATTGGATAAAAAGGCTTGTGGTGCCTCTGAAGTGTAGGAAGTAGTTTACCAGCATGCATGCCAGGTTACTGTATACAAAGTGCACCATCAACCCATGCTTAATTACTTTTACAGGAAATGCTATCTCAAAAATCAGTCATTCTGCTACACAACCATTTATACCAACTAGTTGAATTAGCCAATACTCTCACCAACATCTTAAAGCACAGCACTAAACCTAGTGGAGGTGACAGTGTCCTCAAAGAGGAAAGACTAAGCACTCTTGGAATGTTTTCACAATGGTTTCATTCCACCTTAAAGTAATGTGAACTTCATCGTGGGACAAGCGGTTACACTAACTGAATTAAAGAGGTCACTATTTCCAACCCATGCATTACAGTAAGCACACGAGGCCCAGCTGGCACAGCAGTTCGGCTTTGCCAAGTCGAGGTCAGGCCCTCTCCTTCGGCAGGGGGAAAAGCCTATTTAATCCATGTTCCATTTCAAATGGTCTATATTGTTGTCGTACATTGAACTATCAGGTCTGCCAGATACCACCATGTATCTGCGAGTCAGCAAAGGCGGAGGATAGCGATGGTTGGAAGAAAAAAGGTCTGGAGACAGATGGAAATGGGCCCGCGGTACTGGAGTAAGCGAGTGTACATCGGCACCACACCACGGAGAAGGTTTTTGTGGTTTCCAGAATCTCAACCAATATCTCTACCAATAAATGGGACGTCTGCGTCTACATGGGAACGAGCCCAAGTTGGGCTCTTGCCTGATTAGTATTCTCTATTGCAAAGGTAAATCAACACTAGAAAACGCTGACAAAAAAACCCAACTGTACCGGAACAAAATAAATCTTGTTACACAAAGCACATCGGTCCACTTTCCAAGCCAGAACCGACTGACTGCTCAGAAGAGAGGCTGGGACAGAGGTACCTTGCCACCGTTTTGGCACAATGCTCATGGCTATGACATTTCTGTAATTACCAAAGTAATTTGAAATTCAGGCAGCGATGGCTTTTGGCAACAAACTTTTTAAAGACGGGTTAAGATGTACCCACTAGTGCAGCAAAATCTGCTGAATAAGTGAGCTTGCCATCGTGGTGTGCAGCTGGAAATCGCTCCAGCTGCATCCTTGAGCCTACATTAAACTATAGCCACACACCCTCATCCTTGAGATTCAAAGCCGGGAATAAAACCTTTTAAGTAAAACCTATGAAGGGTCATTTTATTACTTTGCTCATATTAGGAGGAGTTTGAGCTTTTACCGTTAAAACCGCATCCATTTTAGTAAGGACACTGATCTTTAAAGGTCACTGTGAGCTGTTTAAAAAAAGGAAATACCGCAGCCTGTGCAAGTTCATTATTTGGCCTTATATAATAACAAGGTGTTACATTAAATCTGTAGGCTTTAAAAAACAAAAAATAAACTATATCCAGGACAGTAATCAAACAGCAAAGCCACCTTGGCAGGTTCTATCACGAGCTTTCTACAAGTTCCCAAAGCAGCATCGGCTCCCATGTCCCCCGCTGCGCGTGGGCGTCTGCCAGCTCCCCTTCTGCACCCACATGAAAGGAGCCACCTCGGGACCCGCAGCACCACGCACACACCGGTTGACGGAGCAGCAAAACCGGGCAGATACCTGTGCGATGCTTTTGGAAACCTCATTAGCAAGTAGTTGGCATTCGTTATTTATTTTAAAATATCCGAATCCAACAGACAATTGCCGGAACAACGACAGTGAAATTCCTGGCAGTAACAGCTGTATGAGAGCCATTACTACATTTACAGTCTACCTGAACTTTTAAGAAAAGTTATATACATCTGTAAAACTGTTTTTGGAGTTTCGCAAGTAGAAACTAGTTTAATACCAGAATGTAAAAGTGGCACCTGTCTTCACAAAGGTGTTGACTAGGAAATTGGTTCAAAACACACTGCTATGGAAAAGAATTGTTTAGAAAAAGAATATTTTCTTAAAATTCCCTAGTAACAAAATTTCCAGAATGATTCACTCAAGGCAGCTGTGAGTTAAAAAAAAAAAAATTAAAAAAAAAAAATCAAGTGCACCACTGAAAAATAAACCAAGTCTGCAAGATCCAAAGAGCTGCTCACTTAAGAGAGTAACAAGAATTCTGTAATAATTCTGTTAACGCAGACAGATCATAAAGCAAAATGCTGAGGAATTCCTGTGACATACAATACAGTGTGATTTTGGTCCTACACCACAGGCTGCTGTTAGTACATGAATACTTCTCCAGCACAAGATGCGCCTTTTTCTTTTTTTAAAAGTGAATTTACTGTGATTGACTGGTACATTTCTTGGCACCTTCACCATTACAGACATGTAAGTTTACAGGCACAGTCTGGAAGTACTGACATTTTGGATTACAAGTGTCAGAAACTTGACAAATAGTCATGTCAGCCACAAATCTGTTTTGGTGTGTTACAAGATAGCAGGCACCTGTATTTACTACCTGACCCAGAGATGCCCAGACTCCCCATAACTTCAGATGAGGGCAGATGAACATTATCTTCCAACCTGATGATTTAAAATTCACAATATCTTCAAAATAAGTCACTTAAGAGAAGCCAATAGACTTGAATTCCCCCTTCCAAAAATGGCACAGACCTTCCAATTCCCAAGAGAACATCCATTGCAAGCACAGGCACGCTGCCAGGCACCAAAAAGTTAAGCAATCTCCCCGGGTAGTTTCAGATGAGCATCAGTCACTTGATTTTCCTACATCTACGCTCAACTGTACTTGATCAGAACCTATCGCTTACAAGCAACTGACATCAAAATCAGAATAAAATCAGGAACAGGAGAGGAAATGGCTATTTACAGTGTCAGAGCTGCAGAA